TAAAAACGTTGAATTAGTATAATGAAATAAATAATTGCATAATATATAATTTCATCTGATTTATGGGGTTAAATAATTTAAAAAAATAAGGCAAAAAAAAGTTAATAGCATTAGAGAGAGAAAGAAAGTTATACGAGAAATAAGAGTTTTAGAGTTATATAAAGAATGAAAGTCTAATTAGGATCATTGGATCAAAATGATCTAAACTGCGAAAAACTCAAGACAAACAATCTAACTATTTTATTATATACTAGTCATTGCCCGTGTCTGAAGACACTATACAACAAACAAATGAAATCTTAAACAATTACCCAAATTTAAAAGGAATAATTTAAAAATATTCATACCAATTCTTTTTTTAAATAACTCAAACTATTTGTCCGCCATATCATTCGTATTAATGACACTGTCATAAAAATATGTAAAAACTCTCAAAAACAATACCAACACCATATATACAAATGCCTCTAGAAAAAAAATACTAACATAATCCCATTGAAAATTACAATTTTTAAACAATAAATAAAATTTTGCTCATTTATAAGATTCACAACTTTATCACTTCTATTACCACTCAATCCAATAAGATAACATAATTATAAACTCAATCACTATATTTTTAATCCATCGTATCCCCATGTAATAAATACCTCAAGTAAAAAAAAAATACTAATAGAATACAATTAAATTCACAATATTTAAGCGATAAATAAAATTAACCAAATCTTACTAATTTATAAAATTTATCAATTTATCACTATTATCACTATTCAACTCTAAATGACACAATATCATTACAAATTTAATCATTAAATGTCCAATTTCTCACATATAAATATACACAGAAAAACACTTACACACCCAATAACTATTCAAGTTTTTAAGATATAATAATAATAAAAAATTAATGTTTAATTAAAAAACAGGATAAAAATCATGGATATTCCTTGAGTTTTGACAATATTACATGGATAGCTCCTAACATTTTATAAATAACATGGAAACCCACTGAAGTTTGAATTAATTGCCTAGAGACCCCTCTGTCTCCTTTCTGTCAATGTTGCTAATGAAAATTAATAATTTCATCCCAAAAATTTTTATTATTTTTACAATTGTCCTTCTCTAAATTTAGTACCAAAAAAATTAAAAATTTAATAAAATCAAATAAAATTTAATTTAGTACCCAAAAAATTGATTAAATGAATTTTAATATTAATTTGATAACAATAAAAATTAATTTGATATTAATTCGACAAATTTTAATATAAATTGGAAAAAAATTAAATGTCAATTTTATATAAAATTATATATTAATTTACAATTTAAGGTTCATTTCATGTTGAATATTATTTAGTGTTTATAATCAATGTGCTAATTTTTATTTATTTATATTGAGTGATATTTACAAATTAAGAAGCATCTGACAAAATACATGTTGTCATATATATAAAAACTTTGAATTAGTTTCATATTTACTAAAGCAATAGTTGTATACCTTTTGGATGAAAGTGTTGGACCCATAGATGAACATCTTGTTGAGTTTACATTATACTTTATGTTTAGTTTGAGGATATTTTAACACTGTGTTTATATATAAGCTGGAGATTAGTTGAGAGAGATTAAGAAGCATAATTATGAGCCATTAATTAGGTATTTTGTATTACTTGGACACAGCATCTATCATGATGCACAAAGGATTACTTGTTCCTCTTTTTTCTTTTTCCTTTTCTTTTTCTGAGTCATAGTGATGATTCTATGTTTTTGTTTACAAATATTCTGCTTTACATTGCATGACTGCCACTGCACAGTAATATTTTGCTTACCATTTCTAGAATGTGTATTTTTACGTGAGCATTAATTAGATGATTTTGCAGTCATCTGCTGCCAAAAATCTCAATAGTGTCGTGCATGTCACTAGGTGGAAATTGGAAACAACAGCTTGATAAACCATTCTTTGTGCCCTCATTGGTCATTGTCGAAATTGTTGGGCACTGCTGCTAAGTTTGAGTTGTATTAGATTTGACATGGCTCCTGTTTGTTTGTGTGTGTGTGTTTCTTGCCATATAGTTAAAACTCTCGAAAGGTGAAAGTGATGAACATGTTGAAGCCGAAAGTGCATCCACGCAGCAAAATGAGATTGGCCATTGCTCTTGGTAAGGTTGTCTGCGCCAATATTACCGTGACATCCAACGCCAAAGCCGAGGTATATTATTATTCTTTTCAACTTCTTCCTTAATTCTCCTCTTTCTTTTTTGTCGGCTTTTTCAATTGCTTTTTCAGTTGCATGTATCAGATTATTACACATATGCTTCGTTTTTTTAAAAAAATAAAAAATATAAGAGATACATTTTTTATCCTCCAACGAAAGAAAGTAAAAATAATATGTTTTTTTTTCTTTGTGTTTGATTAGATAGATTGAAAATAAAAATGATTAATTTTTTTTTTGTGCTAGGTAAGATGATTTTTTTTTTAATTTTTAATTTTTTTCATAAAATATATAAATACATATTTTATCATTGTATGTATAAATGAAATAAATACATAATATATGTATACATTAACGGATATATAAAAAAATAAGATGCATTTCAACACAAATTATTAATTTTTAATCCACTTTTCTTCTAATTTTGAAGGGATTGATTTTGATGAGTTGGAAAGAAAGTTTATTCATCAACTTTTTCATCATTTATATTTTTCTTTCTTACCAAACATAATGTTTTATCTATTCTTCTAATTTTTTATCTTTTTATTTTTTTTATTGTACCAAACGGAGCATTATGGTTTTTTGGTTTAGCTAAACTTCACTTTTTGTGGATTTGGTCAGATATAGAGAGAAGAGAAAAGTGTACAGAACTTAGTGATCGGCTCCTGTCATGTTAGATTTTATTCCTAATTTTTTTTTTCTTGAATTAGTTCATTTTGTGATAAAATTGAGATGGAATAGGATTAAAAATTGTTGGTGAATGCTGGTACAAATTAATTCATGTGTTATTGATTTTTTTTTTTGATTGGCAATGTCACTTGGAATTCATTAATGTGTTGTTATCGATTTCAATCATTTTGTTGTGGTGGTTAATAGACATTTGTGTTTAAGCAGGACTATCACACGATGGTGAGTCCAGTTTAATAGCTTTTTAGGATATGATTATAATCGTTCATTCAACTTGAATTCTATTTAGTAATTTGAGCCTTGAATGAGGGTTTTAAATTTATCCTATAGATTTTCACTTTTTTTAATTAACGATTGTTTTTGTTGCAAAGACACGGGGACATGTCTAGTATATCTATATAATACAAAAGGAAGTTTTTGAATATTCAAGCACAATAACGACTTATATCATATCGAGTTATGATCTAACTGTTATTTTACAACTTAAATTTTAATCTTTTGTATTTTTTCTCATGTGAATATGTTCCAAGAGCAACGATTATATTACTGAGTGGGGAAGTGCACGATCATCTCCAATGGAGATAATTTTGAGTAAAAAAGATGAGTGAACAAACTTGATTTGATATGGATGTCTCCTATAGATAAATTTATTTTTGCACTCAAATCTTTTTAAAAATTTCCATATAATCCGAGGAGTTTTTTTTTTAGTCTTCGATTTTCTCTGCTTCTTTTACTCCAAAACCTCTTTCTCTCTCAAATTTTCATTATCTCCAATTTTTCTTCCCTCATTTTTTCCTATCATTTGAACTCTTTCCTCCCAATTTTAGTCAATATTTCTTATAAAAAGTTTTTTGCTCACTTCTTTTTCCATCTCCTCCTTCCCCCTATTGTTGGCAACAATGCATAACCCTTGCCTGCAATGGCTTTTGCCAAGACTGACACTTTAATGACATTACCTAGGTGTAATAAGGAACAAAGATGGACAAATTATTTGACACTTCTAATCATTTAAAATATCCTCATTATTATCAAACCGTAAAAGTTTTATCACAACCCTCAGAAACACGGATGTAAATACACTGGTACTACAAGATCCAAAAAAAATAAATAATAATATAGAGAACAAGCTATTGCAGCTAACGTAGTGCCTTTCGTTCCAAAGTCAAACGATCCAACCACTAATCAATTTTTAGCTCATTTGAACAAATAACAAGCTATTGCATTGTGGGCCATTGTCTTTAATTCGAGACATGTCAAAAAATGGAAAAATTGTTTCTTTTTTTTTTCCTTTCCTTCTCCATGCATTCTAAAGAGTTCTGTTTGACGAGTAAATATTGAATGCAACGGTGATACCATGTCATGACATAATATCATTGACCAATAATAAAATCTTAAATGAGTAAAGTGAATCTCACTTGAACTTACATGACAGAAAAGTGAGATGTTATATGCTTACATGATAGGTTAGTTATTAATTTTTGTGGGGTCTATTTCTTTATTTGTTTTAATATTATTGGTTAATAATATTACATCACCTTGTCATGTGGTATCACCGCTATAATGAATATTTTCTCATGTTTGACCACATTAGTCTTCCTAGATATCACAAATGATGATAGAAAATGATAGAGGAACAAAAAAAGAAAAACATTGGATTCAAATGAATAAAATAGATTAACATGTGTTGCATAATGGCTTAAAAAAAATTCATCTTCTAGGACAAGACGGTATATTTAATTTCCAATCATGCATGATAGTAACCTTTGCTTTTCTGGCCGTAAATAAAGAGATTTAGGCATATGTTTAATCCAATTTTAGAGTTCATTCTCTTAATTTAGTTTTAGAAAATATCTTGCAATTTTATTTTTGAAAATGAAATTTTGTTGTTGCACTTCGCTATTTTATTTTTGAGCCAGTGCTTATGGCTTCAATTCAAAATCACATCTCACGGTTATTGATAGATAGCAGAATCTTTATTGATAGATAGTCTTCTATCTTCTTGTTTCTATGTACACAACCAGTAACATGGGCAAATACATTTTGTTATTCTTTTATTTATATCAAAACAACGGCTCTCTCCACTCAACGTGGGATAGAGTTTTCTCAAAAGTCTTTATGATATTAGAGCCAACGGTGAGCTAAGAGAGATATTTTCTTTTCAACCGTATCCGCCATCCGCCACTTCAAACACTTCTAGTTCTTCCCTTTCCTCCACATAATATGAAGATTACCCCTATCCGGTGACACAAAATGTCTCTAATTTTGTGTCACTTTGTCTCTCTTCTATCAATTTCCTTTTATGGAAAAGACAGAGAGTTATGACCTCCAAGGGTTCATCAATGGTGAAATCATGCCGCCACCATGGTTTATTCGTGATGGTGAGTCTGATCCACAACCAAATCTAGCATTTGTCAAATGGTGTAAATCTGACCAATATGGTAAAAGGATGTCTCTTTGCCACTCTTTTTGAATAAGTCCTCGGCATTGTTGTCGGACTTAACACTACAGTTGAAGTTTGGAATGTCTTCGTACATGCCTTCGCTTGGGTTTCCTTTGATTGCATTCTTGCTCTTAAACAACGACTTACAACCATGACTAGAGGGACCGACACCTTGGCAGCATATTTGCGCGGGTTTAAGTCTGTTTGTGATGACTTAGCTGCAATTGGAAAGCTCGTTGCTGACCATAAAAAATCTTGGTGGCTCCTTCATGGTCTTGGCAAGGACTATGAGATATTCACAACGATGATGCTTCGTCCTCCCATTCTGTCATATTCGGAAGTTGTTAAACTGTTGGAGAGCTATGCTCATCACCTTCACCTTGATGGTTAATCGACTCCCTTGATGGCCTTCTTGTAAGAAATTAATTTGCAATCTTCAAAAGTCTGGAAGTTTTATGCTTGAGTCTTCCCATAAGTCTTTTCTTCTCCCAAAGTGTTTAGGTGGCTGTTATTATTTTCTTCTTAACTTCTTATGTAATTTCCTATATAAGGATAGCTATGGTGCATGTTTTTGTAAGTGATTAAAATCAAAAGCATTATAGGAGCTGTAGCGTTGTAACTTCCCTGAACTCTTGTACCCAAAGTGTTCTGCAGTAAAAAAAATACTCTGTTTTCTCATTGTTTGTCCACTTTGCTTCTAGTCTGCCCCAACAAATTTTGGTATCAGAGCATTTTTCTCCAGTCTCTATTTCATATTTTTCTTGTACCTTGACTGCTCTCTTTTGAGTCCGCATACTGCTTATGTTGTTTGCATATTCCCCAAATCTAGTTCCAATATTTGATGGTGGAAGTTATGATTATTGGAGCTCTCAAATGCAGACTATCTTTATTTCTCAAGATCTGTGGGATATAATTGAAGATGGCTATAAAGAACCACTTGGTGACCCTTCAACTTGGACACAAGCACAGAAAAAGCAACACAAGGAGAACACACCGAAGGATGCAAGTGCCCTGAGATTGATACTTCAAAGAGGTAAGTAAATCCATATTTCCCAAAATTTTTAGAGTGAAGAAAGCAAAAGAAGCGTGGGAAATTCTGTAAATGGAGTTTAAAGGGAATGACAAAGCCATCTCTATTAAGCTTCAAACATTATGGACACATTTTGATAATTTTTTGATGAAGGAAGGTGAAAGTATCAAAGATTATTTTTCTAGAGTGTCTGAAATAGTTAATCAAATTCAAAGCTGCGGTGACACTATTCAAGAGAAAAAAATTGTTGAAAAGATTCTTAGAAGTTTGACACAAAAATTTGAACATGTTGTTCCAACAATTGAAGAATCTAAAGATTTATCAAAACTCTCCAAGTATGAACTAATGGGGTCTCTTGAGACTCATGAGAAAAGAATGAGCAGATTTTCAAGTCGATCTTTGGAGCAGACATTTCAATCTACAATCAACATATTAGAGAAGAATTTTTCAAAGCAGAATAAGATCAAAGAGAGGGCTCGTCTCAAAGAAGGGGAAGGGAACCATATGGAAGAGGTCATGGGAACTAGAACTCAGGCTGTGGTAGAGGCAGAGGAAGAAGAGCAATTTTTCAGCAAAGATCTGGTAACTCTATTTCCCATTGTTATGTTTGTAAGAAGCCTAGTCATGAATCTAAATATTGTAAATGGAAGTGCACTAAATGCAAAGTACCAAATCATTGACAAAGAGATTGTTGGTACTAAGATAAAGATAAAAAGGAAGCTAGTGAATTTCACAAAGGAAGATGCTGCAGAAAAACTATTTTATTCTTGCATGAATGTTGAGTACAACTCACAAAATGTTTGGTACTTGGATAGTGGCTGCAGTAACCATATGACAGGAAATCGAGAAATCTTTGTGAAGCTATATGGCAATTACTCATCTCAAGTAAAGCTTGGAGATGGGAAACCCAAAAATGTTGAAGGAAAAGGAATTGTCTCTATCTTCATGAAAGGAGGTAAAGAAAAGTTTATTTAGGATGTTCTATATGTTTCATGCTTAGCTCAAAATCTCCTAAGTGTTGGACAAATGATTCAAAAAGGCTACAAATTAGTCTTTGATGGTGAGGAATGCCTAATCTTTGATAAAAAGAATAGTAGAACAATGGCGAAAGTAGGTATGACTTCAAACAGAGTTTTTCCTCTAGGTGCTTCCTTGAATGACCAAGTTGCTCTCAAATCTGAAAGTGCTGATGAATCCTATATTTGGCATATGAGATATGGCCATTTATATGATAAATGTCTCTTTTTGTTAAAACAAAAGAATATGGTAATTGATCTTCCTTCCATGGAAAAGAAAGAAAGAATTTATGAAGGTTGTATTTTTGTAAAAATGCATCGACTTCCATTTTCAAAAACTTCATGGAGAGCTCATAGTCCTTTGGAGCTGGTGCATGCTGATATATGTGGACCAATTAGGACTCCATCTTTAAACAATAGAAGATTTTTTATTCTCTTTGTTGATGACTATACCAGAATGATGTGGGTGTATTTTCTTAACAAAATATCATAAGCTTTCTCCATTTTTCTTCAGTTTCAAGCTCTTGCAGAAAGACAAAGCAGCTACAAATTGAAGATGTTCAGAATCGATCGAGGAGGAGAGTATATCTACAAGCTTTTTCTCTCTTACTGCAGGCAAAATGGAATTCAAAGGCAGTTTCCAATTTGGCACACACCCTAGCAAAATGGCTTGGCGGAAAGAAAAAATCGGACCATAGTAGAAATGGCAAGGAACATGCTTAAAGGAAAAGGACTTCCGAATAAATTCTGGGCTGAAGCTATAAATTCAGCAGTGTACATTCTCAATCGATATCCAACAAAGACAGTTCAAAACAAGACTCCATTTGAAGCATGGAATAAGCAAACGCTGCAGGTCAATCAACTTAAGAGTCTTTGGGTGTATTGCATATGCTTTTATTCCTTCTCAAGAGTGGGAAAATTTTGATGTAAACGGGGAAAATTTTATCTTCATTGACTACACTGATGAATCAAAGGATTATCGACTCTTTAACCCAAAGAAAAATCATCTCATAATGTCAAGAGATGTTGTTTTTGATGAGATGACAGCATGGAAATGGGATGTGAATTCATCATTAGCACCAAAATTATTTGAGATTCCTGAACCAACAACATTTAATGGAAATTTCTATCCATCAGCAAGTCAAAACACAAGTTCCAGTTCCAGTCCAGCAGCTAGCCCATCAAGACCTTCAGGCTCATCCTCATCAGAAGAGGTTTCTTCAGAATCAAAATCTCCACCAAGGAAGGTTCGACCCTTAATTGATTTTTATCAATCTTGTAATGTTGTTTTCTTTGCTTATGAACCGCAAAATTTTGAAGAAATTGCAAAAGAGGAAGTATGGACAAAAGCTATGAATGAAGAAATGACCATCATTGAGAAAAACCATACATGGGAACTTGTTGATTTTCTGAACAAAAGAGATGCGATTGGGTTAAAGTGGATTTACCAAACAAAGTATAGAGAAGATGGAAGCATTCAAAAGCATAAAGCTCAAATTGTAACAAAAGGCAACTCACAATAGCCTGGATTTGATTTTACTGAAAATTTCGCTCCTGTTGCTCGTATGAAAACCATAAGACCTGTTCTTGCCATTGCATCCCAATTGGAGTTAAAATTATTTAAACTTGATGTAAAATCTGCATTTCTAAATAGTGAATTGAATGAAGAGGTGTACGTGGAGAAGCCTCAAGGACATGTAGTCAAAAGAAAGGAAAACAAGGTTTATCCGCTTCAAAACGCTCTATACGGCTTAAAACAGGCTCCTAGAGCTTGGAACAACAATATTGATTGCTACTTTCATAAAAAAGGTTTTGAAAGAAGTCCAAGTGAACCATCACTTTATGTGAAGAAAGAAGGTACAAATTTTCTTCTTGTTTGTTTATATGTTGATGACTTGATCTACACCAGCACAAATCCAAGAATGCTGGAGGATTTCAAGAAGGCCGTGATGAAAGAATATGAAATGATAGATTTAGGAATAATGAAATACTTTCTTGGGATTCAAGTGAAGCAATCACAGGGAGAGATTTTTATCTCTCAAGAAAAGTATGTTGAGGATTTGTTGAAGAAATTCTGCATAAAAAAATACAAGCTAGTGGCTACTCCTATTGCTCTTAATGAAAAATTGCAGCAGAGTGATGGAAATGAAAAATTGCGGCAGAGTGATGGAGCAGATCAAACTAATTCAAAAGTCTTTCGAAATATGGTTGGCTCTTTGATTTATATCACAAATAAAAGACCTGATATTGTTCACTCTATTAATGTCATTTCTAGATTCATGAACAAACCAAGTAAGATTTATTTTGCAACAGCAAAACGAATCCTTCGCTATGTTCAAGGCACTAAGAAACTTGGGCTCTAGTATGTGAAAGATGCAGACAACAAAATTACAGGTTTCACTGATAGTGATTGGGCAGGCTCTCTTGATGACCGAAAGAGCACATCAGGTTATTTGTTTAGTTTCGGTTCAAAGGTGATCTCATGGAGTTCAAGAAAGCAAAGGACCATTGCATTATCATCAACAGAAGTAGAATATATTGCAGCAATAGATGCAGCATGGGAAGCTGTCTAGTTATGAAGAATTTCGGTTGATTTGCAACAAAAGAATAAGGAGCCTACAATCATCTACTGTGGCAATATGTCAGCCATAGCAATGACCAAAAATCCAGTATTTCATGCTAGATCAAAACATATTGAACTTCAACACCATTTTATTCGAGATTTGGTGAACAAAAGAGAAATTTGTTTGGAGTTAGTCAACACCAATGATCAGCCTGCTGATATACTTACCAAGACTGTAGATTCTGAAAAATTTGAGCAATTCAAGATGCAACTGAAAAATCACAAATTAAGAGGAGGTGTTAGAAATTAATTTGCAATTTTCAAAAGTCCGGAAGTTTTATGCTTGAGTCTTCCCAGAAGTCTTTTCATCTCCCAAAGTGTTTAGGTGGCTGTTATTATTTTTTTCTTAATTTCTTATGTAATTTTCTATATAAGGATAGTTATGGTGCATCTTTTGTAAGTGATTAAAATCAAAAGCGTTATAGGAGCTGCAACTCTGTAACTTCCCTTAACTCTTGTACCCAAAGTCTTCTGTAGTAAAAAAAAATACTCTATTTTCTCATTTTTGTCCACTTTGCTTCTAGTCTGCCCCAACACTTCTATGTCCAACAATTTTCCTCCCAACCCAATAAATACAAGAAGAACCATGGTGCCTAATCAAACAATGGCAACCCTGCTTCTTTCACCTGAATCACCTCAAAAGGGTGAGCATTTACTCAAGGTCCTCCAACTAGACAGAAAAATTATTCTGCTGCCAAACACATAAACCAGTCCACTTCATGTCACCACTCGCCTGTTCATTCAGCTCCAAACGACTCCATACCCGTCTGCCAAAACTATAATAAACATAATCACTCGGCACTTAAGTATTTTAATTGCTTTAATCATCCTTACTTTTCCAACACTATCCCTCAAGCTCTTGCTGCCATGATGATATGCTCAAGACTTTGCCTGGTTTCCCAACACTAGCGCTACCGATCACATTACAAGAACTCCAAGAAATCTTACTTCCTTCACTCCACATAGCGGCTCCGATGCTATTTGCCGAGTGTCCCCATTAACCACATCGGCCAAACTTCTCTTGGTCTTGGTACTGACACTTCTTATCTTCCATTACATGACGTTTTACTAGTTCCCGACATTAAGAAAAACTAGTTCTCTGTTAGTAAGCTTGCATCTGACTTTTCACTTGCCTTTATATTTGATGACACTGGTTTTGTGATCAAGGACTTGACAACCAACTAGATAGTGGCAAAGGGGCGTAAAAGGGAGGGCTTGTATGTGCTTGAAGGAGTTCCAACAACCTTGTTCTCTCACCGGTTTCGAAAAGTTGATCATAATTGTCGGGATCTTCGATTGGGACAACCCTATCACAGGATCGTCGATCATAATTTGCACTCCAAGAAGCTTATTGATTTTGATTCTAAATTTAATAAATCTCCTATTTGTACTAGCTTTCAAATGGGCAAGTCTTGTAGATTGCCATTTATTCTGATTGATCATGAAATAAAATCTTCTTTTTGTAAGATCAATTGTGACTTACGGGGTCTGTTCCCAGTTCACTCTCAGGAACTATTTCGATTTTATGTCATATTTGTTGATGAGTACACAGGTTTTACATGTTTTTTTTCTATGCTCCACAAGTCACTTTCTTGCTTCGAACATTTTTGCAAATTTATCGCTTGTCATTTGATGCAAAAATTTGTTTTTCAAAGTGATGAAGGAGGTGAATTTGCCGATAATGCCTTCAAGAAATATTTAGACAATAAAGGAATTCATCACCAATCAGCCTGTCCAAAAACACCCGAGCAAAATAGAAAAACTGAACGCAAACATCACAATATCACTAAATTGGGTCTCACCATGATGTTTTATGCTTATCTTTTTCCGCGATTTTGAGTGGATTATTTTTCAATGGTAGCCTATCTAATTAATCGGTACCCTCTAAACTTCTTGGGATGGACTCCCCATTTTCTCATTTGTATGGTAAACATTAGGACTATGCTGCATTATGAGTATTGGGGTGTAAATGTTTTCTTTACCTTGGAGATTATAGAAAAAACAAATTGGAACCAAAATCCCTTCCCTGCAGTTTTCTTGGTTATAGTCCCAAACATAAGGGCTACAAATGTTTATATCCGCCGATGGGCCATCTATATATCTCTCGTCATGTGGTATTTGATGAATCCGTTATTCCGTTCTCTAAGCCCACTCGGCTTTATGGCACTAACTTGCTTGATGGTGAACTTTGTACATTCATCGATTGGAAATCACCCTCTTCTAGTAGCTCTTCACAACCAGTTGCTGCACCTTTTCTCTCTACCTTGGCGCCTCTAGATTAGTCCTTAGTAGTAGTAGCAACACCAGGTTCTTTGGGCACTCCAGATCAGTCCTTAACTATAACAGTAGTGCCAAGTTCTTTGTGTAGTCCAGTCCCATCTATGGCAGCCCCGTCTGCCCTTGCTCCTACTACTTCAATCGGACCATTAGTCCCTGTGTTACCAGCTTTTTCCCTAGCTGTTTTGGTCCCATTGTTGCCACTTTCCACTTTGTTGCCAACACCTCCATCTTTTACTGTGGATTCCCTCTCCATTGTTCCATCTTCTATTGCTCATACTATAGACCAGCAGCACTCCATACTCACTCGGTCTAAGCTTGGGATTCACAAATCCAATCCTAAGTATTTTAATTTACTTGCAGCTCAAGCTCTTGTTGACATTCCCCCAGAGCGGCGATCCATCAAAGAAGCCAAACACCATCCAGGATGGTTAGCTGCCATGGATGACGAAATCGCTGCTCTTGCTGCAAATCACACTTGAACTCTAGTTGCACCCTAATCTGATACGCATATCATCGCTTGCAAATGGGTCTATCAGGCTAATCTCAAACCAGATGGCTCCTTTGATCATCTCAAGGCTTGCCTCATAGCCAAAGATTTTAATCAAGTTGGTGGTCTTGATTTTTCAAAAATAATTTCCCCCATCATCAAACCTACAAGTATTCGTCTTTCCCTCACCATGGCCATAGTTCGCAGGTGGAAAATTAGGCAGCTTGAAGTTAAAAATGCTTTCCTTCATGGCTCTCTCTCCACCATGGTCTACATGAAACAACGTTCGAAGTATATTGATGCCTCTCATCCGTTGCATGTCTGCAAATTGAGTAGAGCCTTGTATGTTCTCAAACAAGCCATCGCCTAAGTATTTTTCTTCTCTCACTGGGGTTTTATTGCAGCCCGACTAATCCTAGTTTGTTTATTTGCAAGTCACATGATGAGATTCTTGTGTTACTTTGTATGTTGATGACATGGTCGTTATCGGCAGTAATTCATCTTAAATTACTTGGTTAATCCCTCAACTGGCTATCGAATTTCACATTAAAGACTTGGGTTTTCTTCATCACTTCTTGGGCATCAAGGCCCATCAGTTTGGCTTGGATCTTTCTCTCTCTTAGACACGCTATGCTATGGATCTCTCTCTCTCTTAGACACGCTATGCTATGCATCTCTTGGATCGAGCCTCTATGCATGCCTCCAAACCCATCTCTACCCCCATGTAGTCCAAGGGCCGAACCTTACCTGCATTGGATACACCATATCCTGATCCCACTCACTACTAAAGTATTTTTGGCGGGCTACAATATCTTACATTCATTAGGCTTGATATTTCATACAATGTCAACTTCATTTGTCACTTCATGCACACTCCAACCATGACACACTACAAAATTATCAATTGAATTTTGCGCTATTTACATGACAATG